ATTAAAGTCTTCTGCATTGACCTCTGCTAATGCACACCATAGAGGAAAGGGATGAAGACCCAACAGGAGGCTGTAGGAACAGCTGCTCATTATTAGATCAGGACCTGGACTAACCCTCCCTCCCCCCCGCCTGCCCTCCTTAGAACATATACTTTCATGCACACATACATTATAAATATATATGGAAACAGTGCTCCGTCGTTGGCTTTTACAACTTTTATTATTATACATTCATATCCACAGAGTTTCTCATTGTAATAAATTGACTCGTGCTGATCCAACCTTTTATTACCATGAAAGTGGGTTATAATAATAACATATTGATATAAATAATATATAGATAATATACAGTTACATTAGCAGACCGATCTGGACTACAGACAGTTATGACAGCATCACAAATCTTCATGCTATATTGCGTCGGGTCAAACACAGTTAGCAGTTAGCTTAACCTTCCAACACTGAACAACTTCCTGTAACTGTTCCATCTATTTAGATGTGTGCTATTAGCATTACTGTACTAGTTTCAGTTTCAGTGGATATGTCATTTTATCATATTGTACATATCATATACTGTATATACGTATATACAGTATATTACCAGTGAAAGCATAGTACCAACATAGGTCACACTATTGGCCCGTGACTGGACTGGTGCGTTAGTGTGAGCCCAAATATCTAGACAGTGTGTATCAAGTGTGTGTGTTTATGGGTATCAAGACTCAGGTTCAGTGACATTCAGTAAAACATGTGAAGAAGTACAGTGTGTAATTCTTGTGACTCCCCGTGTCACCACACACATCGCTATGACATCGCCACGTCAGCAGATACTGACCCGTGTATCTGTGCACATGTAGGCAAAGAAACACTAGCCTCGTATATAATCATATGGGACATGAGACGAGCGCAGGAGAGAAGCTGGGGTGATGAGTGCCGTTGTTTGTTTGCAGGTTAGACACGAAACGAGGACATTCTTTACAGCTGAGTAGAGCAGACGATGACCCAGTGGCAGAAGTAGGCTAGCAATTGTCCACTATCATCAAACAGTCTCTTGTTTATTTGTGGGGGACAGGAATGTCCGCATGACAAAAACGTGAGAGAAAATGCTCACAAATAAGCTGACTAGCTGATGTCCCACTAACCCAGAAAAAAAAAGACTCTTGTCGGGGAACGGTTTTTTTTTACTTTATTTATTTATTTGTTTGTTTGTTACGCTCTATGGTTGTTATGTTCTCCATTCCACTTCTCAATGTCTCAGTTTAACAGCCAGCAGACCAGAGTGTTGTAGTGTTGTAGGCCCCTCTGATATATATACACACACATATATATATATATATATATATATATATATATAATTAAGGAGGGGATTGCAGTAGGGTCACATGTTCCCTTCAGGGCTCTGGACAAGGGCAGTGATTTCATGGATGAAAAACACTTGTCCTTTGTGTGGATGCATGTGCAGAACTTTGTAGCTTTGTGCAGGTCATCTGATGAAGGTCACCCGTGATCGACGTGTGGCTTTTTGAATTAGGTTTCATAAAAGCCTAACAGTGTTGATTTATTTTTGTTTGTGCTAGTTGGAGAAGGGTGCATTTATCCCCCCTGGTCGTTGCATTGCTTTGCACAACACTATTCACAATGCATGCAGTACAGTATGAGCAATGTGTTTGGTAACTGGCATAGACGGTACATTAATGTGTTGCAGACAGTGGTGTACCGCCACCTCTGGATGAGAACATTCTGTGTCCCCACATCACAAGACTGGATTTGCTGTGGTGCTTATACATCCGCGACTCCTCACTAAGGGTTTTTACTACCTCGGGAATGTGTGTGAAAAAGAGAAAGTAAGTGAGAGAAGAGGGAGAAGGCTCTTCTAGTTTTGCATTCGCTCTCCAAAGTTGATGTGCCCTGGAAACTCTCCATGGAAAAAGGAAGGGAGAAAGTTTTTAAGGTTTTTTTTTTTATGTTGCGGTGAACAATGCTAGAAAAGATTGTGACCTAAAAAACTGACTTATGATATCTCTAGTTCTGCTTATTAGTCTCCTAATGCTCCGTTTTGACAGGCAGTATATAAACAATTGCATTTCAACGGCTGAAGTGTTTAAATATATCAGGGTACAATGAGATCACATATAAATAATTGGATCATCAAGTCTGTCTGCCTGTCTGTATCAGTGGGGTGAGCAGGTTCAAAAGGTCCCATGTTGGACGGGCCACTGAGAGTGTTCAGGTGCTAGAATCCTATATCAGTGCCAGTGCTGACCATGGGTCTATATCAAGAGCGGCTAGAGTTTCAGCTGCGGGTGATGATGGAGGATTATTCTGAGAAACATGGGTTCTAGTCAGCCTGAAATAACTGATCCCAACTAGCTGTGGCTTTAATGCAATAATGAAGAGCACAGGGAGGAGAGGAGACGAGGCGACGCACCTGCTGCCACTGAGGGCTCTTTCCTATAAGGAAGCTAACAGGAGAGCAGTGAGAGAATAGGCAGTGTCAGGAGGAGAGAGGTTCTAGGAAAGTGAAGAAGAAGAAAAAAAGTCAGATTCCCAGTTTCTGCAGTTCTGTTCACAGATGTTTTGGCATGTGTCCTAGGTTGTATTTAAGTGAAAAGATTTTTAGAAACAGGTTGTCCTGAACGTTACGCCCAAAGAAAAAACACTTTTGTAATTGACTGCCAGTTTACTGCACCTCGTTCTTTAGATTTCACGAATACATGTGATGTGGTTCTCTTACATAACTCAACATAAAAACGGTGAAATGGATCAACTTGGAATTATGGCGAAGCACAAACTGTGTCACTCCTTTATGTTCTACCAGTTAAGTGATCTGTACTTCTTGGATGACGGGGTTGGACTGGTATTACCATGTCATAATGAAAGATTATCTTTTAATACCTGCAATTGATCTTTACCTGGAAGAATAGAGGAGGAAATAAAGAGGAAATATCTGCTTTAACGGTAAATCCAGTGTTATAATCACAGCACTTCCTTCGTTTAGTAAAATTCATATTTGTTTTCATCTTAATTAAGATGGAACTGGACAGCAGAAAGATGTTTAGAGGTGAGATGAAGTAAATACATCGGACTGTTTGTTTCAAAGATTCTGCCATCTGACATGTAATCAAATCAGGAGCATCAGGCAACGGCTACTGCCGTTTACAGGATACAAACTAATTTATGAGTTTCGTGGACAATATGATTTTAAAGGCGCATATTCAACCAGGACAGGGGACAGAGCGACACATGTTCTGGTTGAAGCGAACAAAGTTGAGGAGTTGAAACTTGGCCCCTCTGTCCTATTTATACATGCATTACACAAGACTAGTGTGTAGTTACTGTGACGTGACATGATGGCCCGTGACAATGTCAGGACACATCTTTATTTAACTCGTACTGTGAAATCCTTCAGCAATTATCCGGTGTCATTTAGATCTTATAGTGCAGTGTTGACTACTATGCCATGTGAGTGCACTGCCCAGCACACCGCCAAAGCAACCAAAACATAAGCCTTTGCAGAATATATTCAGACTAAGCCACAGACAGACTGACCTACACAACTGTGTTATTACCCTAAATACCAGAGCATGAGAGCAATGCACATGCACAAAGACGCAAAGCTCCATCAGCAGTGGTTCCACAAGGTCGGAGGGTGTCTTTAGCTGTGGCCCCATTCTAAATATACTTCGTTTCAAACCAAGATCTAAGGAGCATTAGATTAGACTAAGCAGCACTGATTCTAATACAACGGAGAAAAAAACCTGTACATCCAAGGTTTGAAATTGTTTTTCTCTGAATATCGTACTCAGAACACGTAATTGTTTAATGGCACAAACATATCTCGCTTGTCTCATCTAAGGCACTCTGGGATCAGACCAAAGGTTAGAGTACGTTTCTTGATAATCACTAAGACTGCTCTGCCATCTAGTGGTGAAGGGAGGCGAAAAATCTCAACTCAATACTGTGGAAACTGTAAATATGCAGCATCGCGTCATTGAAAATCCTGATATTGCCTTAGTTCCCTGA